CTTGCAGAACTGCGGCTTCCACTTTTAAGGACTTTGAGTTGGCATCAGTGCAGCAGAGACCAGACACTGTGTTGAGGCAGCGCTTCAGGGAGCGGCTCCGAGGGGAGGAGCGGACAAAATCCATCTTGACAAAGCCAAGGACCAATCGCTTTGTCAAGCTGGCAGTGATGGGGCTGACGGTCGCGCTGGGAGCAGCTGCCCTGGCCGTGGTGAAGAGCGCGCTGGAATGGGCACCCAAGTTTGAACTGCAGATTTTTCCCTGAAGCCAGAGGAAGGGCTTTCCCTGTCACCACGTTCTTCCCTGGCGGGAAGGGGTGATTTTTGATGAAAGGACATATCCGGAAACAATCTCTCTGAAGATTATTTTTTATTCTTGTTGCGTCCTGTGACGCCTTTGGCCTTTGCAACAGAGATTGATGGCAACCAGCCCAGCAGGATTGTTTCTCACACCGACGCTCACCTTGTTCTCTCCTCCCCGTGCAGGGGGGAGCAAATGGGCCACCATCGCATGAGGAACTGGAGGTATGGACGAGTCAGGCTCCTCAGGCTGTGCACAGGTGACTGTATGAGTGGAAAACTGCGTGGGCTACACTGAAATGATACCTTGTTCTCTGTTGAGGATAATTAGCGTGAGTGAGGGCAAATCCTCACCTGAAGGAGAGCATCATGGCAGGGTTTGGCCTGGGTGCGCATGGAGGGGGGGAGGGGGGCAAGGGGCTGTTACACTCCTGAGGAGTGGGGGAGCCCTCTGGCTCTGCATCACTCCTGTCTGCAGGCTGCCAGCACACCCTGCTGTCTGCTTTCAGCTTCACCGGTGGTCCGACACTTCCCTTTCCTATAGGCAACCTCTGAGTAGAGCTAGACCTTTCACAAACCCCTGCCAGTGCCCTGCCATGAGGTTGTCTCCAGCATGTAACACTCCCTGGCTCCTTTTGCTTCCTCATCCTTGCAGCCTGATCTGTTTACAGGAAAGAAGGGCAGGGGAAAAGAGCAGACCCATGGGACTGCCAGAGGGAGCTTCGCTCTTGGTCGCTGGGGCTCCTTCCGTGGCCGTTGCGCGATTGTATCTTGGGTCAGTGGGGTGAGAGACAAGTGTTGCTCACCCTGCCGGAGGTATGTGCTGTCATGTGCCAGATTGCGTCACCACAAGAGTTAGTGGCACCAGAAACATCCGTTGCAGACTTCTACAGCTCTGGAAGCAGGCTCTAAAGCAGAGAAAGGCTTTTTCCACCTTGTGAAACAGTTTGCACAGGACAGAAGTCATTGTAGTAGGAAGTCTGTCATAAATCTCCCCCATGAGCCAATCAGGCTTCAGTGTCAACCCTTGGAATAACGCAAGTGAAGGATTTTCCCAGAAAGGCCACCCCTGACCCCTGCATAGCTCCCATTTCCCCACCCAGTCCCATTAACAGTCCTAGTGCTCCCTGCCCTCCAAGCTAAGCAGTGAATCCTTCTAGACAACTCGGTGTCCCACTGAGACGAAGCCAATAGACACTATATGCCTCTACCTCTCCCCTGAGCTGCTAAACCTCCCGCAAGTGCCCTTACCTGTCCCTTACAGCCCCCACCCAGCTCCCCCGCTGTTGCTGTGTTGTGCCCGAAGCCATCTGTGCCATGCCCAGGGGCTGCACACCTGAAAATTAGGTGTTGGTTGAAGAGTTACGGATTTCGGGATAGAGAAGAAAACTTGTGCCCTGCAAAGCTCAGTCCCCTCCTGTCCCAAACTCCTGCCTGTCAGTTCTTAACTGCCTCTTGGGTAGGTTCTAGGTTGCCCCGTGGGCCCTTAGTCTCAGAGGAACCATGCCTTTCTGACTACTGCACTGGCTGGGGGGCATGCCGGCAGTCATCACACCTGACCTGTGTTTTCGTAAAGCTCTGAGCAGAGGAGTTTCCTTTGCCTCTGCAGGCTGGAAGCCGAAGTGTGCGAATCTGCTCTCGCAGAGGCAGGGCAGGGAGACCTGTTCCTCTGCCGCTAGCTGGTGCCAGTGGCTGGCTCGCGCCAGGGCTGTCCGCACCGCTGGTGAGAGCCAGGGACTGCTCACGGGTCTCCTCTCCCAGTGTGCTTGAAGGGAGAGGCAGTTTCTGGGCCCTTAGCACCTCCCCAGGGCAGCAGCAGCGCGGGCTGGAGGGCTGGGGGACTTAGCACTTTAGAAACTTGTGCAGGAGAGTCTGTGGTGGCCTGGGGCTGCTGCTGGAGGTCCTGGGACCCCTCTGAACACTCCCCCACTGCCTGAAGGAAGGGATGGCTGGAGCACCCCACCACCCAGCCCTGGAGGAAGCCCCCGTGGTCCCCCCCACTCTCTAGCCATGATGCACTTTAGTTCTTGCGTTGTCCCCGGGGGGAGAAGTCCTGGGAGGAGACAGTTGCTGCGGGTGCTTCAGTTACTCTGTACAAAGACTTATACGTACCCATGTAAATGCAGATTTGTACAAACCCTATAACTGTAAAATAAACAGTTACTTAACACACTTCCTTCCCTTCCCCTGTGCCGGCAGAGGCCGTGGCGTGGATCCAGGGATGCCAGATCTGCTCTCGTGGCACCCCACAGCCTGGCGCTGGCACATCCCCGCAGCAGCCAGGCCGAGTCAGTGACCCGTGTGGCCTCGTGCCCAGCAGCCCCGTGGGAAGATGAGCAGGAGCGAAGCCAAATGGCACTTGCGTACCCCAATTGCTGTTCTCCTTCCATCTGCCCGCCTTTGGTTAAACGCCAGGACTTGCACGTGCTGTCAGCTCCCCATGGTGTCCCCCCTGCCATCAGTGGCACGGTGGACAGAGCGGGGCTGTAAATAGCCTGACCTTCCGGCCCCTTTTGCACCCTGGGGGCGGGTGCCTGGCTGCAGGAGGAGAGCCTGGGCACAACCAGGGCACGGTGCCCATCGGTGGAGGCCCCGGCTGTCACCGTTTCCCCTGTGCAGCCTCCAGCGACCGGGCACGCTCTGCTGAGCCGGTTTAACGCAGCCGCTTTCCCTGGGCTGGGAACGGGCTTTGCTCAGTAGCACGAGGCTGGCGGTTGTGTTTACCAGATCGGGCCAGGGCTATTTTTAGTTTCCTGTGGCTTCCTCTCTGGGAGCGATTTTCTCAAAGCCCTTTAGGAGGAACACGCAGGCAGAGGCCTGCAGGGTATGGGGGGCTGCTGGGGGGTCAGCGGGGCAGTGGGTGGGCAGGGCTGAGGTTTTACAGCGAAACGAAGGCCAGAGAGCCAGCACGGCGCTGTTCCTTGCAGCGTTATTGTGATAACATGACACCCAGTTCCTGGGCTGCTGGGGAGGCAGCGGGGCAGTGGGTGGGCAGGGCTGAGGTTTTACAGCGAAACGAAGGCCAGAGAGCCAGCACGGCGCTGTTCCTTGCAGCGTTATTGTGATAACATGACACCCAGTTCCTGCATGCTGCTGGGGAACGTGCCCTGCCTGGAGCTTGGACAGCGAGTCCAGCACCAGCTGAGGGGTTAAACCACCCATCGGAGTCCCTCACCTGCTGGCACAGAAGCACGGCCAGGTCTGGCCCTGGGCAGCTGCAGCCCATTTGGGATTTTGCAGAGAGAACAGCCCACAGGGACATGTCACACGTCTTTTATTTACCCTGAAAGAGCAAAACCAGGGAAATGGTGATGTGTGCAAATACCCAGGTCCCTCCCAGGTGCTGTAGTGCGGGTGCAGCACGCTGTGCTCGTGCAGGCTGGGCTGGCTCGGCACAGCTCGGCACCGGGCACTGTGCTGAGGGTGGGGGCCGTGGCTGTGTTCAACGCCCTAACACCAGCGGTGTCCCGGTCCAGGCAGCTGCATCCCACCACAGCCACCAGCTGCACTCCTGGGCACCTCCACTCTTGGCCTTCCTCTTCCCCTCCTGCTGACCAGCACCTCCAGGTTCAGTGGAGCCTTGCACGGCTCTGGCAGGACATACGGACCAATCTGCTGGGGGTGGCAGTCTGGGGTCACCGCACATGGGGACGGCACGCAGGGCTGGGGGCGCAGGGGCTTCGGTCTCGCTGGCTCAGGGCTGTCCTGGAGCTCTTCCAGACACTTCCTCCAGGCTGGATCCAGACTGAGCTTTGCGGCTGCCCACTCCCATCCCGTCCTGTCTCTCCCTGCTGCGGCTGATGTTGCTGTGAGCCCAACTGCAAATCCCGGCCTGGCCCGGCTCTCCTCCCTCCCCTGCCCTGAGATGGGCCCTTCTCCTGCTCCCTGTCCCCCCCTTTCCCTCCCGCCCTGGTCCCCAGCCAAGAGAATGGCTGTCCCTGCCCCGGTGATGCAAGGTCCCAGCCACGGGGAGATGGGGGACAGGAGCCTTATGGCACCGGGGAGCGTGCGCAGCCCCTGGGCGAGTGGCAGGGATGGCTCCAAGTGGTCTCTGTTCCCAGCGTGATGCTGGTCCCCAAGTATGGCCCAGTGGTGCAGCAAGACGCAGCAGCACCCCGGGGTGCAGGGGTGTCCCAGGGGAGCTGAGATGTTGGTGGCCGAAGCAGGTGGTGCACAGGGCTGCACTGAGCTGACATGAGAAGGCACATGGCTCCGTGTGCCCTGCATGTGCTCCCATTCCTCATGCCCCCTGTGCTCCCTGGGTGCCCACCACCGTGCTCAGCCACCAGCAATGGCCTCGGCAGCCTCCAACAGGGAAACTGGGCCCAAATGGTTTCATTCCTGGGTTCTGATCCGATTATGTACCGAATTGAATGAGGTGCTGCCGGCAGCAGGGGCTGGCGATGGCCACCACATAAAACCTGGCGCTGGTAGCCTTTCTGACACAGACACAGCAACAGTCATCGTGCCACCAGCAAAGAGATTCTTCAGTGTCTTTACTGAGTGGTGGCAGTGAAAGCAGCTGTAGAAGCGGGGCTGCAAGAACTGCAGGGCAGGGGGACAGCGGGATGTGGTGGCCATGCCGGGATTGAGCCGGATGCTCCGCAGTGCTCTCTGCAAACCAGGTCCAGGTGATCCAGCCATCTCCCAGGCTGCAGCACAGCTTGGCCCTATGCTGAGTATCACCCATCACCTCCCCAGCCTCAGGTGTCCCACCGGGGCTGGACACCGTGGACACGGGAGATGCCAAAGGGCACCGCTGTCCCTGCCTGGGCAAATGTGGTGGGAGGCCGTGGCGGGGGACTGCCAGGCAGGATGGGTGAGAGCTGCTGCTCCTCTTCCTGGGGGCGGTGCAGGGCCAGTGCGCAGGAGAGGAGCCCAACGGTGCCCAGCGCCCCAGCCGCCACACACAGTGCCATGCCCACCAGCCAGCATGTCCCCAGCACGTGGTTGTACCGCACCGCCTGCATGTCCAGCACCATGAACTCCTCCTCTCCGATCTGCTCCAGCTTTGGGGGCACCAGGGAGCCGGTGGCCAGCGCAGCGGCACCCACAAGCAGGAACAGGATGCCCATGGAGAGGCTCACCTGGGGACAGGGGTACAGGGCTCGAGGTCAGCACCAGCTTCCCTGTGCCCCCAAATGCCATGGTGGGATGCACCCCACGCAAGATGCAGGCAGGGGGGTGTATTTCTGGGGGACGCAGTGGTTTTGGGGTCTCTTACCTTCCAGATAAGGGGGGCCCAGGCTCCATTTGATGAGGACCCATTCCTGTCCCCGTCAGGGCTGGCCCCGGTGCAGTCCTCATAGAAGAGATGGAGGTAGGAGCGGACCCCGTACCACTTCCCCTGTGCCACGCTGGGCCTGCGGCCGCAGCTGCAGTCTGGCTCATGGGTGGGCATCAGGCCTGGGGGGCACAGGAGGGCCATGATGGGCCATCGGGGGCGGGGAGGGTGACAGGAGCCACAGCCAGCCCCCTCCCGCAGCCACAGCACCCATGGGGCTGAGCCGGCTCCTGCCCTTGCTCCGGGGTGCAGGGCAGGGGATGGGGCACGAGTGCTGGATGCACCCGCCATGCAGAGGCCATTGCCTGTTTTGGAGAGCACCAAGAGGGACCCCGAGAGCTTCCAACCCCCACAGGGCTCTGTCTTGGCCACCAGGACCCAGCCAGGGCGATGAGGATGAGGCCACATCCTCGGGGTGACCAAGAGCATTGCTGCCCTCATCCCAGTGGGGCATCCACATGGGATGGAGGAAGGGAACACCCCCCCACACACACCATGGGGACCTGCCCATCCTGTGCCAGATCCAGACCCCGGCACAGCCCCACCACGGACCTGCCGCTGTGGTGGCAGGATCAGGCCCGACATCAGGCCATCCGCAGCCACCCAATCGCTGGCGATGGGGAAGAAGGGGCGGTGGCGGGGAGGGATGCGGGGCCGCTTGCTTGCGGGGACACTGGGACACGGCCACCACATTGCGGGGACGGGGCCACCCTGTCCCCTTCCCACCGCCTGCCCAGGGATGAGGCATTGCCATGGGACCCTCCTGCTCAGCCCTCGGCAGGGCAGCCCCGCAGCCTGGCGGGTGCGGGTGTGGGGCGGGAGGGCGAGATGCATGTGGAAATGTCAGCCTGGAGGAGGGTGGAGGCGGGGGGGACCCCGGGACCCTTTCGGTGCAGGTCGTGGCGCTGAACAAAGCCCTGCACTGGAGAGGCTCCACCGGGGGAACACGCTCACGCTGCCTGTGGGACCAGCTGGGACTGGGGACGTGTTCATCCCTCCATCCCTTCTGGCATGCAGGGATCTGGGGGAGGACGGACCAGCCTGGTGCTGCCAAGGTTTGAGGGGGAGCGCTCATGCTGGAGACCACCCTGGTGCAGCCCTTATGCCCGTCACTCTGCTCCCCCTGTGCTGCACTCATCCTGCATCCCCCTGTGTCCCCACACAGGCTCACCCCTGCCCATATCCCTGCCTCCCCGCCCTGCCTGCTCCCCACTTACCTCTGGTGGAGGCAGAGGCCTTAGAACATCCTTCCTGGTCCCGTCACTGACAGTGGTTCCTCCGCTGTCTGTGCCTGGGAGGGATCCCACAGCACCGTCCACACCTGGGCAGCCAGCCCCCAGCTTCAACACAGTCCTGGCTCCGTCCCCCCTCCCAGGGATGCAGGGTGAGGAGGGTGGAGGGGAACGGGCAGAGAGGGTCCTTGCTGTGAGGCTGGGAGCCACTGCCGTCTGCGGAGCTGGCGAGACGCTGCGTGCAGCCGCCGTGTGTGACTCAGAGCCAGGCCAGCGGTGTGTGCACGTGCCTACGTGGGCAGTGCCGGACACCGGGCACAGGGCACTTGGCCCTGAGTAGTGCTGGCCCATGGCAAGGTCAGGAGGGCAGCAGCAATGGCCGGTGAGATGGGACTGTGGCAGGGCCAGATCCACGGGCGTCCCCATTCCCGGCCAAGCCCGATGGCATCCTCAGGCAGCAGCCTGGTCCAGTGGCCAGGGGCTGCTGTGCCACCCTGCCAGAGCATCACTGTCCACATGGCTTTGGGATGGCACCCAGGGCACGCCAGGACCCGGGGCAGTGCTGTGTGCTGTCCCAGAGCAGGTGCAGCCCTGTGCTTCCATGGGGCTGGAGGGGTCACTGCAGCACGGCCACCCCCCCGGACACCTCCACCCCCCGGGAGACAGCCCGGTCCCCAGCATCACTCTGGGCGCAGGGCTGGGGCCAAGGGAGGGGCCGGTGGTACCCGGGGATGCTCCGGGCTCCCCTTGTTGCCGTGGCAACAGCTGCGGGGCGGAGGGGGGAGGGAGGAGTGACGCAAGCGGCGCGTGCCCCCCGTAGCCCCCCCGCGGGGCCGGATTAGCGCCCCGGTCGTGTGTCGTGTCCCCCCCGCCCGGTCCTTTCCCCGCAGGCTGAGCCGCGTCGAGGGGGGCCGCCGGGACCGATCCCCACGGGTGGAGCTGACGGTGCCGTGGGGCTGCGTGTGCACAGAGCAGTCACAGCACACGCGTGCGCTGCACATGCATGTGCACACACATACACACGCTGTGCATCCACACACCGCACACACACGTACGGCCTGCACACGCATGCACGGGGGGCACACGCAGCACACCGCGCCGGTGCTTACACACGTGCAGTGGGATGCACGCACGCACGCTTACACCCCCCAGCAGCGTGGCACTGCTCCCAGGGGACATGCAGCCCGCTCTGGCTGACGAGGGTGAACTCTCCCCAGGGGAGGGCTGGTGTGGGAGCCCCCGGGAACCGGGGCTTGGGGTGGGAGCCTGTGGGCTGGTGTGGGAGCGGAAGGTCAGGGTGGCAGCCCCTGGACCACGGTGGGAGCCTGTGGATCAGGGTGGGAGCTGACGAACCTGGGAGGTGGGTGCTGGCTGCCGGGAACACCACATCGCCTTGGGAGCCCCATGTTCCCTAGGGACCACACATCCCGCCGGGAGCCCCGCATCCCCCTGGAAGGAATGAGGCGGCGCAGGAGGAGCCAGAGCCATGGCCAGTAGACCAACACACTTTATTCCATAGTCACAACAGTCAGGATAACCGTTAGCCAAGCTCCCGCAGAGCCGGAGCCGGCCACATCGCACCCCCCCGGGACAGAACGGGGACCGGGGCTGCCCCTCGGCTAAAAGCCTATTTCTCCAAGACAACAGATACAGAAACCCTTCACTAACACGACACTACAAAGGTGACCCCGAGCGCTGGTGCCCGTCCGCAGGCTGCGC